CCCCCCCCCGCCCTCGGGTGTCACCCAGCGCCCTACCTGGGCTGCAGCCAGGCGGGCAGCGCCACGGGCCCCATGCGCCGCAGGCCTTCCAGAGCCGTCCGGGAAGGAGGACCGCGGGGCGGAGGGGGGGGGGGGGCCCGGCGGCCGGCGCGGAAGGGCGGGGCCTCTCCACACTCAGCGACTTATAAAAAGCCAAGGTCCCAGGTTGGGCAAGAGATGAAAACCAAGTTCCTGCAGTTCCCGCGGCTGGGAGGGGCCGCTCTGGGGACAGCGCGCCCGGGAGCGGGTCGGCCCGGGACGCAGCACGCTCGGCGCTCCCAGCGGGTTTCCCAAGCCCGGGCTGCAGGCTCCTCATCTCTGGGTTAAGACCCTCTTGCCAGACCCTGGCCAATCACGCATCCGCGCGACTTCGGGGGCCTGGCAAAGCGCCAAAGTCCATCCCCAAGCGTGGATCCCGGGGTGGGCGCCTCTCATCACCTCGCCTATGAGAGAGCTTCGGAAACGCCGCACCTCTTCAGCCGAGGGGCCTGATTCCTCCTGGATCGGGCATCCCGCCCGCCAGTCTCCCTGGGTCCTCACGGATGCCTGCACATCTGTTTAGTCGCGTTGTGTTCACCTCCCTAGTCTATGCCCAGCACTCCTAAAGCCTGTTCCCGATCTCTCAGGTCTATGGCATCACTGTCTCCATCCTCAGGTGACCCACTTCCTGCTTTGCTGATAGGCTCCAGACCATCTTCCAACCGCTGTGCCCTATAAGGCAAGCCTACCGACAGACAGACAGACAGCCAAGAAAGCACCTGCGAGTAGGTGGAGCAAGAGCACCTCGTTATTGGAGTTGGAAAATAGTGCCCTCGTTTTACTGAGAGGGAAATTGAGGCTTCAAATAAGTGTTTAGTCACGTGCCACAAGTCACCCAACTGGCAAATGCTAGTATTAGATATTCATGGTCGGTGAGGGTTTTGTTGTTTGTTTTTAATTCGGGCCCTGGCTTCCTTCCTCATTGTTCGTTCACTAAACTCACCTCTCTCTTCCACATTTCTCTGCACCTTCTCTCACGTCCTGCCCTCGGCGGGAGGTTAGCCCCCTCCCTGTTTTTTTTGGGGTTTTTTTTTGTTTTTTTTTTT